ATGTAATTTTACAATATAATTATTATTTAATTATGGAAAATTTCTCTGTTGCATAACTTATGCAATGGATGATTAAGGCAATTTCGACAAAGAATAATGACCATTCGATACACATGGCGGAATTAATTACAGTTGATGGGTGACAATTTTTAAGATTGGAAAATGTATGACTTTATTATATGCTAAATTTCAGATATATGAAAATACTTAATTTAGCAGGGCATACGATATGTTTGGAGGAAGATCAATTCAGACAAAATTAGTGGGTTCAGTGTATAAAAAAGTTGAAACTCTTAGCTCAACAACAATTTGAGAATCCCCTTATTATAAAAATAGAAAAACGAGTTTTCTCAACACATATGAACCCCACTTATTTTTGTAGGGTATGAATTCAAAAAGGTATTATTCGAATGAGGGACCTTTGTGACGATATTTATGGATGTTGAATGTAAAAAAAAAATTACTAAAAGAAAGAGCAGACAAACTAATTGTCGTGAAGCAAAAACGAAAGGACCGCTAAATGTCCTACCATTCGTGTGGTATAACCTGTTAGAATCCGTACAGACTGAGTGTCAAAAACATGGTATATAACTGGGGTGTCGAACTATGAGGTCCAGTATTGAAAATTGTTGGTCATTAATTAGGACAAAAAAAATAAAGTTTCATGAGTGGTCTTAGACCAATCTTCAAAATTTCATACTCATTGTAGTAGATTGCGAAGAGGAGTAAAAAATCAATTGGATCTTTAGTGCAAATTGGATTTAAGGAGCAATGTGATGTGAAGGGGAAATGGTTTTACATTTTGTGGGTAGTGGATATCTCGCTAAGTAAATTCAAGCTTTATCACTCAATGTGGAGGTTCCAAAATTCAAAGTTTTTGATTTGGGGCTACACTAATAGAACAAGGTACAAACAATTTCAAAATTATCTTTTACGATTGTTGTTGTTGCTGAGAGATTAACCCTGGTGACGGGTAAAAATGTTGCGGGAGATAGTAAATTGAAAGAGATTACCTGGTTAGACTTATTTCTTATTTCTCAAAAGTTAGTTGTACCCCCTCGTTTGCTCGCAAACTTTACGAAAGTAATGTCATTTAACTCTTAAAATTTTTAGTTTTACTTGAAAACCTTCATTCCAAGAATGGGGTATCCCTTTTTATTTGAATTGCATGCGAAATATGAAATGAAAGTCGGGATGAGTTCATGAAATATTTTAATTCGAATATCTTTCTGTATACGGATTTTCAATCATAAATTGGTTAATCCAATCTAAATTAGATAATATTTGTTGTAGTAGAACGAAAGCTTAATTAAGACATTTCATAAAGACTTTTATTCCATCTTCAACAAATAGATGTAGTTGAAAGGGAAAACTCATTTTTATACGAAAACTTATCAAACAAAACTGTAAGTGTTAGTATTGATAATTTTTAATTATAGAGGATTTTTTTTTAATGAAATATTTTTTCAACTTTCATTTCTTGTGTAAATTAATTTGTTGCAAGACAATTATTTTTTTGATAATATTGGAAGAGAAAACAAAGTTGTTCTCTCATACTAAGTCTTGAAGGTGAAGATTAAACACACCATTGCTATTGCAATAAGGTGCAATTGACAAAGAAAAGTGACTAAAACCAAATTTAAACTGTGGGGTCTGTGGTGGTTTCATAGTCAGTGGGTAAGGGATAAGCAATTGCTTTGAATTAGAGAATCTAGGTTAAGTTGGTTAAGTGTTTTTTCACTACTTAGTCGATATTCGAACGTTCAATCATATTTTTCACAGTAGGAAGGTAATTGCAACATTGCATGTGAGGTTCCATAACCCCACACTAGGGGTTGTTTCATCAGAAGTTTAGTAAATAATAAAAAAAACAGTAGTTTAACCCCCTTGATAAACAAGACCACCTTAAGATTTTGTATTGATAAGAGACGATTGTATTTTAGTAGATTGCATACAAGAGAAATAGGCTATCATAGGTGTAGACAATAAAGTGGGGCTAAGGAGGAAAGTCCCACAGATAATTGTTTGTAAGCTAAATTGGATAATGCTTCCAATCCATTTTTGAGAGTAATATTCAGCTTCCCGACCCCAATTCGATTTTTTTTTTTACCTTTTTCTAACATCACACTTTCATGACATAATTCGAATGAGGCCGAAAAACCTCTAAAACAAACCGGAGGAACAACCCGAGAGCACCATCCAACTTAGCTTATCGGGTTAAACCCTGAGTTACTCTTGACCACCTAAGGTCACCTTAAGAAATTTTTGATAGTTTGATTAACACCTATCCTTTAACTAACCTATCACTATTCCTACCTCTGATAATAGTTTGTAAGAACTCCTCTCTCTCAGCGCAACTGCTGAACGATAGTGCCTTTCCCCTGAATGGAACGCACATCCATTATTTGTGTACCTAAACAAAAAGTTGCTTAAAAAAATAACAATCATAATGGTCGTACATTTTCATTTAAACACCGGTACACCACACATAGGCTCGCAGTTGTCGAAGGCCGTCGATTATTTTCAATGCCCCCCCTTGCCGCGCGACACCATTGAGTTTTCCTTGTGGCGATAAAAACTTTCTGTAAGGCTGGGGCTACGTACTCGCGTTTTAAACCACCAGTACCCCGTCCAGGCAAAATTTTTTTTTTCCTGAATTCATGGAAGATATTGGAAGGCCCGGTAGGGGCTTGGTAGAACCTCGACACAGGTCCATTTTGAAAACCAAAACGAACAACCAGAGAGAATAGCAGAGGGAAAAAAATAAAAATAAAAATAAATCATAGGATTTTTTTTTAAATTGTTTTTTTTTTAATTTGGTAAGGAATTTCGATGTGACCCTGGGGCAAAAGTTGTTCAATTTTTTTTTATGCATAACAGTGTTTTTTTTTTTGTGGATTTTTTTTTTTTTTTTTTTTGCTGGGATCTTTCCTGGTCCTTGCACGGGCTGGCCAACTGGGACCCGGGCGGCCCGGCTAGTAGCCTAGAAACTTTCGTTTTTTTTTTTTTTTTGTTAGCAGCGTAGAGCGCAATCCCCATTCGTTCGTTCTCATGAATAACTAGCCCTCACAAAGAGCATAGTCAAACTTGTAGTTTCCCGGATGTATCTGACCACGATCACATACAAATATGTTTTTTTTTTTTTTTTTTTTTCTTTCCTCCGACGAACCACTTCCGAGCAGATGTCGGGGAGGGCATGCTTGCAGTAATGTTATCTAGAATGTACCTGCGTGCTATCACCGCCAAATTCTTTTCCTTTTTTTTTTCCCCCTCTTCCTCTGCCAGCAGTGCAGAGCATAATCCACGCTCGTTCTCAGGGATGACATCACTAACAACATAGTCACATTAGTATTTTTACGGACAACATACTCACACTAGTGCTTTCTTGAATGTATTTAACCACCATCATGACCAAGTCTTTGCTTGCTTTTTTGCTTGGTTTGTCTTTCCTCCAATGAACTGCTTCCGACCAGATGTCGAGGCAGGCTTAACTGAGGGCATGCTCACAGTGGTGTTGTCGAGAATGTACCTGAGCGCTATGACAACCATATTCATTTTTTTTTTTAATTTTTTTTTTGGTTATCGGCCAACAATACACATCGCAATCCACGTTGGTTCAAAGGGATGACTCTCACTGATAGCATACAGTAGTACTTCCCCGAATGTATCTGATCATGATTACGACAAAATCTTGTTTTTTTGGGGGGGCAATTAGGGCGCAGTCACATTTTGAGTTCTAAATCAAGTTCAGGTATCGCTCGAATACAACACATCCCCACCCAACCCTAGAGCTGGGTTGGATACATTCACGATTTTCCTCCGTTTGGAGCAAAATTCATGAAACCATGACTGAAACGCATTTAAAACTGAAAACCTTGACTGCGCCCTAGTTTTCCCTTTTTTTTTTTGTTCTTTTGTTTTTTTCCTCTGCCATACGTTCTCTGGAATGCCCCTCGCTCAGGCATAAAACACAGGGGGAAAGAAGAGAGAAAAAAAAAGAAAAGCAAGGAGAAGGGAAGAGAGGGGGGGGGGGCGGGGGAGTATAAGTAGAAGTACTGGTCCCTCAACATTGAAGGACTGGTCTCTCGCTATAGCACTGCTTTACTCCAGCTACCTCCTCCCGAAACAAAGAGGTTCGGTAGCTCCAAAAAAAAAGGTTCGGACGAGTGCTTCGTAAGGCCTGCTAGGGGGGAAAACGCAAAGATGCCCTCGTCCTGTAGGGGTACAACGAAAATGGATCGGTGGCAAGTACCGGGACATTTTGCAAAGATGGACAGTACCCGGTAGTGGTATTTTGCAAAAGTGGCGGGTGCAACCAACACCAGGGCATTTCGCAAAACAGTTTCGTGTCAGAGGGGTATTCCACTATACCACATTTTTTAAGGGCATTTTGGCATAACCACATCAGTTAGGGGCATTTTGGCATATGTCTCAAATTGTAGGGGTATTTTGCAAATTATCTCAATAAAGAATTGTAAAAAGTTGGCAAGTACCAGGAGATTTTGCAAGGAAGGACAGTACCCAGTAGGAGTATTTTGCAAACATGGTGGGTCCAACTGACACCAGGGGCGTTTCACAAAAAATAAGGGGCATTTTACTCTACCCACAGCTCTTAGGGGCATTTTGGCAGTCCCCTCACTCACAGGCCTCAAAAAATACAATGAGGTCCACGTCCGCCCCTGTCCCTCATACTGCCTATGCTTCCAGCACATCGCCGTCGGGTAAACGCCGGTCCCTCCAGGCAGGGCCGCCGTCAACAGGCAATTTCTGCCAGGTTTGGGCCACCCCCTAACCTTTCTCTGGGCCTATCAGTAGCTCTGGCGGGCCCCACTGTGCTTCGCCTCACGCTCATTGGCTCTCAGTGTGGGTACCCGTCGGCTTTCCCAACCTTCTTGCCGTTCCGCGCCTCGGGCTGTGTACCCGCGCCTACAGTAGGTGATATAGTCCGTCAAGGGAGCAAGAGGAATCCCTCAGCTTCTTTTCTTGATCGTTGTTGGGAGGAAATCGATCGAGGCACGCGCTCGGGAGTAGTGTTCCAGCAGACGCAACTGCGACCATGAGGGCGAAGGTTGGTATCTTGTCCAGACTCGTTTGTTTCTTTGGTGAACGCCATTGATCGTTGTTCAGTCGGTGTGTGTGGCGGGGAAGCGAAGGGAGCTAATTGGTGAGAGCAGTGATGATGTGTAGTGGTCGAGGTACTATCGTATGGGGTTGGAGGGAGTTGAGTGAGGGATTTTGAGGTTGATGGTGGTGAGTCAGGGAGTTACCTCATCACGGATGAACTTGGGATGTTGGCCGACAGGGGTTGAAGGAGGTGAATGAGGAATGTTGGAAGAGAGACCGAAAGGTTTTCCTTTAGGGTTTCGTGGGCCGTCTTGTTGCTTTCTGGCAACAAATGAAAATGTGTCGCACACAGAGAAACCGAGAAGAGAGAGAGAGGTAGAGAGAGAGAGAGAGAGAGAGAGAGAGAGAGAGAGAGAGAGAGAGAGAGAGAGAGAGAGAGAGAGAGAGAGGGGTGCAGTGCGTTAGGCATTCAGACAACCAGACAGNAGAGAGAGAGAGAGAGAGAGAGAGAGAGAGAGAGAGAGAGAGAGAGAGAGAGAGAGAGAGAGAGAGAGAGAGAGAGAGAGAGTGGGGTGCAGTGCGTTAGGCATTCAGACAACCAGACAGGCAACGAGGCAGACAAATATACGTTGATAAATGTCGGGAAAAGACAGATTCCGAGATAGCGACAGAGAGAGAGAGACTCTCTCCCGGTCTCATCATATGGCGGTGAAAGTCCGACGAAACGTTCTTGCACAGTCATGCTTTTGTGCGTTCGTGAGAGCAAACTTGAGACTAGGCGTACAGCCGTCACCACGTTTGGGTCCGCTGCCTCTTTGTGACCTGGCTAGGCGTGTTGATAGGTTTTTCTTTTCTTATTTCTTCTTGTGATGTACATTCGGCATGCAGAAAGAAAGTTCGTTCTCGTGCTTGATGTTTGCTGAGATGTATTGTTGAGATGAAAGGGCGTTTTTGTGTTTTGTTATTGTCAAGCCATCAGTTATTGGTGGGATAGTACTATTCAGAAGCACTGTAACAAAAAATTCCTAGTGATGAGCCTAGCACTATTCAGAAGCACTCTAACAAAAATTATAGGGATGAGCTAGTGTAAACACTTTTTGAGCACTACGTTTTGTGAGTGATGTTTGCTGAGATGTATGGCTGCGATGAGCACGTTTTGTGAGTGATGTTTGCTGAGATGTATGGCTGCGACGAAAGGGAAGTTCTGTGTATCGGTGGGACAGTGCTATCCGAAACACATTTACTTTCCAGAAGACCCTGGAGAAAAACCCTAGAGATGAGCCGAGGTCGTGTATGATACTTGAGCACTATTTTTTTGTTGAAAATCTTCCAAGATTGTGACAATTGTGTGTGGGTGGTGATTAAGGAGAGAGAGAGAGAGAGAGAGAGAGAGAGAGAGAGAGCGACGGAGAGAGAGGGCGACTCTCGGTCCCCATTGTGACATTCGTTGACCCAATACACAGAGAGAGAGAGAGAGAGAGAGAGAGAGAGAGAGAGAGAGAGAGAGAGAGAGAGAGAGAGAGAGGACGTCTGACGTAATTGATCTGCGGTGTCAGACTAGCGATTCTCGGTCCCCATCGTGACATTCGTTGACCCAATACCGAGTTTACACGCAAGTCCCATGGTTAATATGGTCTCGGTGCGGCGCTCTCCGTGATTCTTTGTGGCAAACGGAGATTGATTAGTGGCTGTTGTGGTTTGTCCTGCAGTGGAAGAAGAAGCGTATGAGGCGTCTCAAGAGGAAGCGCAGAAAGATGCGCCAGAGATCGAAGTAATGGACGACGCCTATGGGTTGAGTGGGGGGAGGGGGAGCGGGCAGTCGGAGTGGGTGGGAGAGTGGGAAAGGGTGAGTTGGTAGTATGGTTCAGTGGAACGAGAATAGGGGGAAGAGGACAAACGCATGCGCTACACGGATGTGAACGGGGATGGGGATGTTTCAATTTGGCAAACGCTCTCTATGCTCTTCCGCTTGACGATATTTGTAATGTAGTGTTATAAGGAACGAGTGATTCTTAAGTTGTTAAATTGGACCGGCTGATGTGGTTGGTTGTGTGTTTTCGATTTCATATTTTTGCATTTGCATGGGAGTGGTTGGCGTGTGAATCTTTGATTCTGTTTGCTCAGTCAATGTTTGCTCAGTCAATGTTTCGATTTCATATTTTTGCATTTCGCATGGGGGTGGTTGGTCGTGTACTGTCTAGGTTGACCGTGTACTGTACTGTCTTGGGTCGTTCGTGGGTCGTGTATTGTCTTGGTTGGTCCGTGTGTCGTGCACTGTCTTGGGTCATCCGTGGGTCGTGTATTGTCTTGTTCTTCTAATGTTTGCTCTGCATTGAGAAATGTCTTTTGACTGAAAACTGAGTGTTGGAGGAGAGAATTTACTACGGTCTTTGCTTGTTTCGAGATTTTGTGACATAATTTCGTACGAATTAATCTAAAGGAAGGAATCCTTCGGCTATGCTTAAGGGATGTGGTGATCTTTTGTGTATGCGTTGTTCCGAAGTTCTCTGTATGCGTTGTTTCGAAGTTCCCTGAAAGGTAGGAATCCTTTTGCGATGTTGGCAAATATGCACGGATAGATGGCTATGGTTGTTATAGCCATGCCAAGGCGCATAGCTGTTGTTTTCCTGCGATGCGTTCTTACATCTTTCGGAATATCTTGTTAAAATGTTTCCTGATACGACTTGTTACAATATTCCCTGTTTGTGTCGTAGCTTTCTTTTTTTTATTGTTTTTTCGGAAAAGAACCAGGCCGCTTCTAGGAGCGGATATAAGAGCAGCCTCTCCCACTGTCTTCACCCGAATAGAACGACTGGTTATTGCAGCTGTACCTGCACAGAAATTGAAGTACGGCTATAATCACCGTGCGTTCGATTCCGGTGAAGACCGTAGTGTGTGGCCTGGTTGCCCTTTCTGTGGTTGGGAAGCTGCAGATGCTCTCATTGGAAAATAACCTCAGGACTGTTTAGAGTTTTTTAGTTTTTTGAGGTAACATGTTAATTGGAGACGTGCGTGTTTCCGGGAACTTAGATGTGAGCTGTGTGCACTTTCCCCGAGGGTTCTGGCGTGGTTTTTAGGGTATAAGTCGTACCTTCGGGCAGAACCTAATCCTCACGGACTTTACCCGATTAGATCGCTCGGTGATTATCGTGTTTCGAGACTGAAATGTTGGCCCGTCTGTATCTAAGGTAAAACCTAATCCCGACGTACTCTACCCGAGATATCCCTCGGTCATTATCGTGTTTCTAGACTGAAGTGTTGGCCTGTATGTAGCTAAAGTAACCGTGCTTTCTGTTCGGGTGAACACCGTATCATCTTGTGTTTGACGCTTGGCATGCGTTTTAAGAGTTGTCGAGTCGCGTCATTTTGTATAGGGCGGAAACCTGGAACCGACGCATTTACGGAGGCGTTACGCATTTTTGCCTGACCAGGATGGTGCTAATTGTTTTATGGAATATGATATGAAAGGAAGAACCTTACGATATTCGCAACTACATTCGTGATCTGAAGGCACAAATGTAGCACCGGTGCTACCTAGGTAGTTCTCTCCGAGCTATGATCGTCATCATTCTGTTCAAGTATGTGTTGTGTTTTTGTTATGGACAATGGACATGTTGGATCTGGTAAACAGAAAATGCACTGGCTTAAGCTTCCTTGATGAAGAGAGCAGTGTCTTTGTCGTAAACGCGACTGTTGACACATCTAAGAACGAAATGTCTGTTGTCGCGGAATTCTCTTCCGTTCAATGTGAATTCCGTTTTGCGTTCACTCGCGCCGTGCTAGGAGGAAGCCATCAGATTCGCTCTCTGCGGTAAGCATTGAGCGAGCTCGAGGATGATATTAACTACCCCAATAGCGAGGCGTATTGTGACGGAAATGGTGGCGTTTGTTTAGCTGTGCTTCTCCGAGGAAATTAGTGTTGGTTTGCCATTCCCGCCTTTTTGTTACGAAGATGGTAATGCTGAGGTGTTATATGATGCCAGAAGCATGCACTTCACGGTGCGATGTTGTGGCGCGGTAGTCGAGGGTAAACGGATCGCGTGGATTACCACGATACCCAGTAGGGGTTGGTAATTCCCTTGAGCTTTTTCGCTGCCTGAAGTGGATGTCCTGCACCCTGATCCACAACAGAGAAGTCTGAGATTTGGAATGGTCAATCGACTAGTAGGTTAGAGAATGGAAATGAAGGGGAGACCTCCACTGTCGAGGTAGCGATCCCGTTGGCTCTCTGATGTTCGGGAGGAGCCAAGATGCCCTTCAAAGGTGCTGAAGTTTGTGGCGGTCGGACAGACTCGAACAGCTCCGAGATTGCGCGCCATGGTATCGGCTGGATGAGTCGGATCGCGCCTGTGCTGTTGTTCCACTGTTAGGGTACGACGGAGTATTTGTTTGTGTAGGGTTAAGGAGGTTTCTATTTTTTGTGTTTGTGTGGGCAAGGAGTTTGTTTCACTGCTTTTACTGGGCTTTGCCTGAACCGGGCTCCTCGTGTAATTGGAATCGGCGTGGGAGAGACCAGTTCTTTAGGTTGGGACCAGTTCTTTAGGTGGGGAGTGTCGTACTCTAGTAAAGGCTTTTGCAGTAGAGAACGCTGTGCATAAAATGATTTGTCTGTATTCTACGTGTATTTCGCGACCTACAAATTTCATCGATAATTGAATAAAGATCGAGAGGGTAGAGAAGCTCGTTGGAGGCAGGCGAAAAAGATCACGAAAGAATTTATGTGAAAGGCCTTATTATACCAGCGACTCAACGGAACGGTCTCCGGCATATACCAGGTGTCGTTATCCTCTCCAAGAACATATCCAATCTCAGTGGAACGCGCTGCTGTAATTCATTCATTATGTGGTAGGTGATGGACGTTGTAGAGGCTGCCGTATCCCGTCCGTCCTTGGCGGCCAATCCTCACCTCCGGAAACGCTTAGAGGACGATTGGCCGCATTTTGCTTAAGAGGACGATTGGCCTATCGTCAAACAGAGCTGTCCGCTGAACCGTAGACAGAGAGGGACAAGAGGACAACAAGCGAGGGTCTTTGGCAAACTGCTCCGTATGAGTTTCGCCGATTGATCAGGAGGCTGAAACCTCAACAGGCTGCAAAAGTCTCCTAATTGATGACAAAATTGTAATCCATCTTGACCCCGGTTGTGGTTAAGAATCGACTGCCCTACAAGCGATAATGAGGTGGGCACCAACCACTGCCCTCGGCACTCTCGCTCCCTCTCTCGTTGCATAACCCGGCTTGTCTTCCCTTTGAAAACGGTAATCAAACTGCTCATTCTGTGTCGCAAACTCCGCCGGAGAGAGAGAGAGAGAGAGCTTGATCTGCAAAATGCGAATGAACCTTCGTTCGCTTCTCGGTTGGGAAGAAATGTGCGGGAGGTGCGCAAAGCGGGGGAGAGAGACAGAGAGAGAGAGAGAGGCGGACGGGGATTGAAGCAGTCCTTCGGACTACCTATATATAGATGCACACGAAGCAACTGTCTGGCGGCACTCCAAGGGTATTTATTGTGGCAATGGTCTGATTTCTGCATTTGAGCAGAATTCATCTGCGAGTGCTGCGCTCTCGACTTACAACCGCTTGTTCGTGCATGTGTAAGAGAGAGAGTTCGCAGACCTAAGTTCGTAGTGGAAGTGGAAAGAGGGAGGCCTTGTCCTCGGCTGTAAGGGTGGTATACACCCCCTGTAGGATGGACCGTAGTCCAACTGTTAAGGCAGCTGTCAAGGAGCGGTGCAGAACGGGCAGAGATATGGCACCTTAACTGAAGCTTTCAGCAGAAAAGGAAACAGTCCAGGGAGGGCAGCGCGGTAGAGTTTATCCCCCCTGGCCATTGGAACAATCATATCGGTGGAGAACAGAATCCGGAGCAGCGGACAGAGATTGGAGCAGCGGACAGGGGGCAGCGGACAGCGGATAGCGAGCGTGGAGTTTATCATTCAGTGGAGCAGCAGCAGGGCAAACGGAATCCTAATCGACTGTGTGTGTGCGTGTGTGCGTCTACTGAAACTTCTTGACGATTATTCAGACTGCTTTCAGCCCATTCCAGCGGATAACAAGGTGTTCTTAATGACTAGCATGGAATGATTGGGCATTCACCAGCATGGGGTAGACTCCACCCTGTGGAATAGATAGTCTTCCCCCGAATACAACGTAAGGTCATTATAGCTGAATTTAGACTGAAATATCCACCAAATTCAGCTATAATGACCGTGCGTTGTATTCGGGGGAAGACTAGTTTGAAATGCTTTGCAATGTGTGGAGTGTATAGTAGAATAGCAGACCTAGTGCTTGATGAGAAGATCGTAATTAGGGTTTTTGCGAACCTCGCGGTGGAAGGGATGGTTTAATGGGACGCTGGTCCGGATTTCCAGCACGAGCCTATGCTGGGTATTGGTCCCAGTATCTCCGGGTTGAATTGTGAGGTCCCCGGGCTATTTTATATTTTGAAATGAAATGAATGATGGTCTTGCAAAAAAAAAAAAAAAGGTGAATGATCCTCTTGCAAAAAAAAACCTGAAATTCGTGTACCCACTGCGTGCACGCAAAAAAAAAAGTTGGGGTATGTGAATTGCATAATGGCCCTCAGGCCCAGCCGTTGAGGCCCATCTTCTCAACACGTGGGGAGGTCAGGTGCAAAATCTGAAATTTAGAAAATCCATAGATTAGGGCATTTTTTCCATTAAAAATTTGGAACATTTTTGAAAAGTCATTTGGGACTGCTCAATAATGGTCGAACCGATTTGGCACATTTTTCAATTTTTCCACGTAGCCATGTGTGGGCGAACTGAAAGAGTGCTCGAGTTTTCGCGCTCATAAGAATGCGTGGAAAGACCTGAAAATTGGATTACTCGTAGATTTTGTTGTGGTCTTTCTGCGAAAAATGCTAAATAAATTGAATTAAATCATGCCAACTGTGAAATAGGTAGCGGTCGCTATATGATCTCATATTTCAATTTTCGCATTCAGCCTCTCTCTCTCTCTTACACACGAACACATTCTGTTGTGTATTGGTGGGGAACAGCATGTGCTGGAAACTGGGATGGTGCAGGTCTCTCTCTCTCTCTTAATCTCTCTCTCTCTCTCTCTCTCTCTCGCTCTCTTACACGAACACACATTCTGCTGTCTATTGGTGGGGAGCAGCATGTGCTGGAAACTGGGATGGTGCAGCTCTCTCTCTCTCTCTCTCTCTCTCTCTCTCTCTCTCTCGCTCTCTTACACACGAACACACATTCTGTTGTCTATTGGTGGGGAGCAACATGTTCTGGAAACTGGGTCCAGCGATCCTGAACATCGTTAATAGAGCACCAGCTGGACCATCCCCCCACAGTCTCTCTCTCTTTTATCTCTCTTACACACACTGTTGTCTATTGGTGGGGAGTGGCACCCTCTCTCTCTCTCTCTCTCTTACGCTTCTTGAGGGAACAAGGTTGGAAAGCAGATAGTGATTTCAACTTAGTGGGATAGAGTTAAA